CAGTAACCTCAGACTCTTGGGTTCAAGTGATTCTCTTACCTCAGCCTCCCAAGTAGCTGGGACTACAGGCACCTGCCACAAGGCCTGGCTATTTGTAGAGGTGGGGTCTCGCTCTGGCTCAGGTTGTTCTCGAACTCCTAAGCTCAGGCAATCCACCCACCATGGCCTCCCAGAGTGCTGGGATTACAGGTGTGAGCCACCGCGCCTAGCCTTATAGGCTTGTTTTAAAGATTGGAAGGAATGTGTTGATTTGTAAAGCCTTGAGAACAGATCCTGGCAATGGTGAATCTCTAGGAGGCCAGACTGGTGGTAGGGTTGGGGCTGCAGGCATAGACCCCAGCATCCTTTCTAGGCGCCTCTCTGCCTGCTACCATCATCAACCGAGCCCAGGCCCAGCACCACCATGTCCCTGCTTGATGGTACCACCTCCCTCCTGCCACGTGAGTCTCACTACCCAACCCGGAGGGGTGACAAGCAGGGGTGTTGTGGTGCCTCTGAGCCCCTGACTTGCTCTCTTGTAGGCACTGCCACCTCTCTCCTCCTGCCCCTGGCGTCACCTCTGCCCGATATGCCAAGCGCCCCTGGCCCACTGGGCCTGCCCTTGGAGGGAGCGCCATGTACAGCAGGTAGGAAAGCCCAGGCTGGGGATGTGGGATGTGGGATGTGGGAACACTAGAGACCTTGATCTAGGAGACAGCAGTCCAGGAGGCTCCCAGGCAGGGGCTTCCCGGACTCCAGGCCTGGATCACAGGGAGGGAATGGCTAGCTTCGGTCTCCCCACCCTCCAGGGTTTGGAATAATTACTTGCCTCACTGGCCCTCCTCCCCACCCTGCCTTCTTTCGGGAACTTATTCCATCATTCACTTATTCATTCACTTATATACTTACTCACTGATACATTCACTGGCTCCATCAGTAACTCGCCCCTCGCTCTTGGCTTCGTGCCAACCTCTCTTCTGTCGCTGAGAACATGGCCAGATGTGGTTCCTGCCCTCAGGCATTCCTGTTCTCAGAAGAGAACATTACAAAAACCTTCTGCTGCCCACAGAAGAAAGTGACCAAGATACTACTTTAGCCCACCTGACATTCTTGGCACCCTGTGGGGCAGGCATGGCCAGGGTTATAGTCACTACCGGGGAAGTGGGACACAGAGAGGCAGGCTGGGGTTACCATTGTGGGCTCTGGTTTTTCCCACAGGTGTTGGGCCCTGAGGCTCCAGGTGGCAGGCCCCTGTCTGCCCGACCGCCACCCTGGGCACCCACATGCAGCTCTAGCTCTGCCAAGTGCCCAAGAGAAAGGTGGGCCCACCCCTAGGGCACTGGGGTGGCAGAGGAAGAGGCTTGGGCACAAGGGCTCACCTCCTACCACCCAACTCCCCTGGCCCAGGAGTCACAGCGACTGGACTCAGACCCGAGTCCTGGCAGAGATGCTGACCGAGGAGGAGGTGGTACCCTCTGCACCTCCCTTGCCCACAGGACCACCGAGCACATCACCAGTGCTGAGAGGTGAAGAAGGGAGAGAGGGAAGAGCCCCTAGTGTTCTGTGTGGTCCTGAGCCAGAATTCCATCCTCTCTAGGCCTCAGTCTTCCCACCTCTGAAATGGGGTGGGTGTTGAGAGGTGATTTCTAAAATCTTCCTAGTTCCCAAACTTGGAATTCTTTTTGTAGGGCCACCTGCGTGCCCAGATGTGAGTTGGAGCCCATAGTGCAGGTGGAGGGAAGGATGAAGGGTACTTAGCCCCCGAGGCTTCCCTAGAGGATGTTGGGACCCAGATGGACGTGGTCGGGGAAAGTCCAAGGAAAGGAAGGCTTCAAGTCTCACTGCTCCTTAGGTGGAGCTGGGGTGCAGAACCTGGCCCAGAGACTGGAGGCCCTCAGAGACCAGATTGGTAGTTCCCTGCGACGTGGCCGGAGCCAGCCACCCCACAGCGAGGGTGCACGGAGCCCGGGCCCAGGCCTCTCTCCCCGCTGAAGGCAGAGTGGAAACCCAGAAGATGGCTGTGTGACCTCAGACTGGGCTCTGCGTCCCTAGGCCTCACTCTCTCCGTCTAGTGCATGGGATTAGCAGCTTTGTCAGGGGAGCAAGGGGAGGGTGCTGCCCCAGACCATGAGTCATGCAACCAGATTCAGGAGAAACCAGGCAGCAGGTGATGAATATATGAATAAAGAAGGAGGCATCAGTCCAAGCCTGGTTGGTTCTGTGTTCTGAGGAGTCAGTCACTTCCCTGTCTGGGTATCCAGGAGAGAAGGGGCTGGGACTCTCAGCACAGGCATGCACCCCACCTCTCTGTGAGGTCCCTGGTTCCCATCTCCTTTCATGGATTGTGTAAGTTTTGATTGAGCAACTACTACATGCCACTGGGGGTCATGGGGAAGTCGAGTGGTGCGTGTCTCCATGAAGGAGGCATCAGGCAAACCACTCTGGCCATGGGCTGGGCACACAGGAGCTAGAGGGGCCCACTCACTCTGTGTCACATGTGTCCTGGTGCTGGTGGGGCTCAGGAGGCCTGGCTTTTCATGGACCACTTTCTTATCTTCAGTCAGTTAAATGGTGAATGTGGCTCCCCAGCCCTTTGGGGTCCAGGTCAAGGGTGTGAGAAACATGATTCCTGGCATAAGGGCCTACAGGATGCAGTGGGTCTGTGACAGGGAGAAGTCCAGGTGTGACATGAGGAACTGGGGGTGGGGTTGGAAGGGGCTCATAACAGACAGCCATGAGGCTAACCTAATCCTCCCATTCATAGTTAGAGAAACTGAGACCCACATCTTTCATTCATTCAGTGAACACCACTGTAAATCAAGCTGTAAGGTGGCAAATGTAATCAACAAGGACCAAGGTGAATTTCCCAGTGGGCTGACAGACTAGTCTGGTGGGGGACAGATGTTTATAAGCTCACAGGGCTTTTGCTGCAAGAGTCCAGGAGATTTGTGGAGGCACAGAAGAGGGTCACTCAGTCTGTGATTGTGGTGAGGATCAGGGAAAGTTTACCCAGAAAGCCGCGATGAAGGCTTAGAGCAGTGGTTCTCAACCTTCCTGATGCCGCAGCCCTTTAATACAGTTCCTATGGGTTGCGACCCACAGATTGAGGACCGCTGGCTTTGAGGGTGGGCAGCATTTAGTCCAGGGAAGGTGGGCGTGGGGTGGTGGAGACAAAGGTTTGGAGACCCCTGAGTTTCCAGAGATTGTCAGGGCAGGAAGTACAGGCTTTCTAGGCCACATCCGGAGTTTGTACTGTGCCAAGGCAAAAGGGAGCCATGGAAGGTTCTTAAGGTGTCACCAGCCTGGATTTGTATTAGTTTTCTTTCCTTTTTCCTTTCCTCTTCTTTTTTCTTTTCTCTTCTCTTTTCTTTTCCTTTTCCTTTCCCTTTCCCTTTTCTTTCTTTCTCTCCCTCCCTTCTTCTCTTCTTTTTTTATTTTTTGTTGAGACAGAGTCTTAGTCTGTTCTCCTGGGTAGAGTGCCATAGCATCATAGTTCACAGCAACCTCAAGCTCTTGGGCTCAAGTGATCCTCTTCCTTCAGCTTCCCGAATAACTAGAACTACAAGATACCCACCACAACACCTGGCTAGTTTTTCTATTTTAGTATAGAAAAGTGAGTCCTCATCTCACTTTGGCTCAGACTGGTCTTGAACTCCTGAGCTCAGGCAGTCCACCCACCCCTGCCTCCCAGAGTGCTAGGATTACAGCCCTGACTAGATCTGTATTCAGATGACATGACACAGACCACATGTGGGAGGTGGCCTGGCTGGCAAGGGTGAGCTGGGGCAGGGACCATCAAGAGACCAGCACAGAGAACGGGTGAGACATCTCAGCCAGCACTGGAGCCAGGTGTCAGACCAGATTTTGCCTGAGGCCTTAGCCCCTGTCAGAGCCTTAGCCACAGGCTTGGGGCATGCTGGGAGGAGCAGGCTGAGGCCAGAAGGCCAGCCAGGTAACAGAGTGCTAGGGAGCCTAGGAATGCTGGAGGGAGGTCACGGCCATCATCTGGAACAGTGCTTAGGGGGTCACTGTGTTCAGAGGGCCTGGCCTGAGGAGATAGGACCTCTTTCCCCCATCACACTCCCCAGTGCAAGACTTAGTGTTCTAAGGAAAGACTTAGTGTTCTACTCATCATTTTGGAAAGTAGCTCTTGGAATGTGTGCCATTTTCCCCAGAGGAGTGAGGACCCCAAAATAAAAAGAACATTCCCCCAAGCAACTTGAGTGTGCTGTATCATTTGAGGCAGACTACTGGGCCTTTCTGGGTCTCCTTCACTACTAGCCTCTGACTCCTGAGGGTTCTGGCAGGGCTGATCCCTAAAGTTGGGACTGGCAGCGTGAGCCCAGGTTAGAGCCACCTGTGGCCAGGAACTGAGAGGCAAATTTGTGACTGGGTATGAGGGGTGTTTGACAGTGGCAGCTTCCCGCAAAGCCCAGGTCCATGGAGGCAGAGCCTGGGGATGTAGGATGACGGCCAGACACCACAAGCAGCTGTTCTAGGCATAGTGGGCTGTGGGTAAGCCCACAGACTGAGCCATCCAGGCCAAAGCAACTGCTCCAAGCCCAGGTCACCTCGTGTCCAGAAAGGGCACAATAATAGTGCCCCTTTATGAAACTTGTATGGACTAAATTCCCTGGCATGTGGGAAGAGTACAGCATGTAGCTTGGCCTGCTGCAGACAATTTAGCCATAAGCAACTTTGAGGCAATGTGACAGTTTGATGGAATTGACAACACAGTTCAAAAAATAATTATTCAACACATTTATTGAGAACCTACTCAACCATAAGAAACTTTACTCTCACGGAACACAACAAACAAAAGTGGGCAAAATATGTGGCATGTCAGATGGCGATAAATGTTGTGAATTAAAACGGAGCAAGAGGGTGGAACTTGGCCCGGAGGAGAGGTGGGAGATGCAATCCTGGACAGGGAGTTCTGGAAAGGTCTCCCGGAGGTGACATTTGTGCAGCGACCTGATGAGGGTGGTGAGCTTGTTTAATGCCGTAAAACCTCCCCCTCTTTTTTTTTTGAGACAGAATCTCAGGCTGTTGCCCTGGGTAGACTGCCGTGGCATCACAGCTCACGGCAACCTCAAACTCCTGGGCCCAAGCAATTCTCTTGCCTCAGCTTCCCATGTAGCTGGGACTATAGGCGCCCACCACAATGCCCAGCTATTTTTTGGCCCAGGCTGAATTCAAACCTTTCAGCTCTGGTATATGTGGCTGGCATTCTAGCCACCTGAGCTACAGGTACGAAGCTCCTCTTTTTTCTTTCTTTCTTTTTTTTTCTTCTCATCTCTCCTTAGGGGAAGACCCCTTTGTTTCTGAGATTGATTGTTTTGGTGCCACAGCAGCTTGGGTGGCTCTTGCAGGTTCATGCTTAGGCTCCTCTGTGCTCCCCAGAACCCTTATCTCACTGGTCCTGCTTGCTGGGAGGTCTTCAGCCTCAGGCAAGGGAGGCTCCTGGCACTAAACTTAAGAGCTATGAGAGCTTTCCTTAGCTGCTTTGGGAGGATGCACTGGGACCACCCAGGGGGATCCTGGCCTTTGCTGGTTCACTCGTGTTTGGACGATTCCTGCTGGAGCTGGCCATGAAGTTTCAGTTTCCTAGTTCTAGCTCATGCTCCTGCTGAGCAAAATCCCTGCATCCTTTCCAGTGATAAACCCAGGGTTCAAGGGGTCGGCTACCACCACTACCCTATCTCATAAGCCATGTGTCCATCTCCCAATCAGCATCCTGACTCTAGAACTTCCACTTTTCTAGGTTCCCCAAACCCTGGGGAGATCCCCAATAATGTACGAAGGCTCCTGAAATCCATTTGGTTCTTTTTTTTTTTTTTGCAGTTTTTGGCCGGGGCTGGGTTTGAACCTGCCACCTCCAGCATATGGGGCCAGTGCCCTATCCCTTTGAGCCACAGGTATTGCCCAATCCATTTGGTTCTTACCAAGAACTTTTAGACTCCAGAGGGCATTTGTGGGACCCCGAAAGCCTTATGCAGGTTGCTGGACCTTAGGGACAGTTCTCTGGCCCACTGAAACATGGTCATAGTTCTTAAGAACTGTCAAATGTGTGTATGTATATATTTATTTTTGAGATAGGAATTTAGCTCTTGTCACCTGGGCTAGAATGCAGTGGTATCATCATAGCTCACAGCAACCTCAAACTCCTGGGCTCAAGTGATCATCCTGCCTCAGCCTTCTGAGTAGCTGGGACTACAGGCACCCCTCACAACACCCGCCTAATTTTTTATTTGTATTTATTTTTATTTTTTATTTTTGAGACTGAGTCTTACTTTCTCATCCTGGGTTGAGTGCCATGGCTCAATCAACCTCAAACTCTTGGGTTCAAGTGATTCTCTCGCCTCAGCCTCCCAAGTGGCCAGGACTATAGGCAACCACTATAATGCCCAGCTATTTTTAGAAATGAAGGCTCACTCTGACTCAAGCTGGTCTTGAACTCCTGAGCCCAAGCAATCCACCTACCTCAGCCTCCCAGACTGCTAAGATAACAGGATGAGCCACTGTGCCAGCCTGCAATTTAAAAGGTCTCTGCTACTTTGAAACATTAGAATTGGGGGATGCTCTTGGAAATCCTGAGGACTGTAGGAATTTCCCAATTCCAAATCCCTAGACGATCTCTCTGAACTTGCGAGATATTGGGAGGGAGTTGTGGAATCTTTGGCTAGGGAGGCATGCAGTAGGGAGGAACATTCCCCATTGCTTTGACGGCCACCCAAGAGTTTCCAGAATGCGGCATATCTTGAGTCCCCTGGATGTCCAGATCCCTGGCTGAGTTCTCCAGATCCTTGGGAACCCCAACTTATGGCCTATCCTAAATCCAGAAGCAGGAACATGGCAAGATGCCTTGCTGTAGGATGGCACAAGCTTCAGGGAGAGAATTCCTGTGGGTCCTTGTGTTTAAAAGGCAGTGAGGTCTCATCTGGGAGTCAAAGTCATTGCGAGAGTTTGTGAAGCCCCTATTGCCGAGAGCATCTCGCAGCTCCAGCCACACCGGCCTCTTCTCAGCATCCCGGGTGGGCCCTGCTCTCTCTCCTTCAGTGACTCTTCTCTTTGCCTAAAGACACATTTGCCCCCAACTCATGTTTAATTTCAGCTCCTTTATGCAATACTTTGTGTCCTTTTAAATGACTTTTTCCATTTCTGTGTTCTTGTTGAGCTCCCAAGAACTCATCTTCCTTTATTTTAAGCAAACAAACTTGCCAGGGCAGGGTTGGGAAGGTAGGCGTGGTCTTGCTATGAGGCAAGGAGCAGCTATGGGAACAGGATAGGGGATGGAGACTGCTGAGATGGAGAACACGACCAAAGTCAGGAGATCTGGATTCAAAGCCTGCTGTGCTATAGCTCTACTGTGAGTGCCAGAAAGGTCCCTGGCATCACTGACATCTACACTGGCAGGCCACCAAGGAAGACCTTCATGCAGCTTATGGCTCTGGTCATGTGATTTCTCACTTAGCACATGTCTACTAAGTCCCTACTCAAAGACGGGGCTCTTCTCCTGGGCAGAAGCAACACGAGGCTGAGCCCTGGCCACTGCCTTGTCCTCAAGCAGCTTTCAGTCAAGTTGGGGGTGGGGGAAAAGGACAAGCAAAGCCACAATCACTACGCAATGGAATAAAGAATCACAATTAGCAAGTTTATCTGGTGCCAAGCACTACTCCCAGCCATGTATTACTCATTCATTTCTCACAACTCTGAGGAATAGATACTATACGGATTCTCGTTTTGCTGTGAGGAACCCAAGGCATGAAGAGGTTCAGGAACTCCCCCAAGGTCACACAGCAAGTAGGCGGCAGAGTTGGGATTTTACCTGGGTGGGTCTGGTTCCTGAACAGGTATTCTCAACCACAATATCAAGTGTCACCTAGTGGTACCACAGAGAAAGGACCTAGAGAGGAGCAGTTTCTATCCAGCTCAGGAACCCCTGCACAGAGTTGGGATCCACCAAAGCCCAGCACAACAGCAAGTCCCAACCATGCACAGGCAGTTTGATGAAGCGAGGAAGGGCCTTTATAAGCTCTTTTTTCTCAATGAAGAAACCTTCACCACCCTAAAAACAAAGGAATTCTTTGCAAGCTATCCAATGACCCAGAACTCTATGCAGCCTGGGCTGGAATCTAGAGAATTAGGTGGGAAGCCCTAAAGTCTAGCCTGCATCTGGTGGGCAGCATCCCAAAAGGGGAGGTGGGAGATCTGGGGGGTCTCTAGGCTGTGGAACCTTGAGCCAACCCTCCCTTTCCTCAACCCCCATCTGCCCAACTTACTAGCTGCAAGAGCCTGGGAAAGGTGGTGAACCTCCCTGACCCTCAGTTTCCTCCTCTGTGAGATGGAGGTTTATCCTGTGAGGAGTTTGCAAGTGCTTTCAGGGGAGGATATGAGGATTAAAGTCAAATTCACATAAACTGTTTAGGACAGAGCCTAGCACACAGTGCGAAATAAATGTTAGTTACTATTACTATTATCACTAACGGATGTCCTCAGCACAAACATTCTATCATTCCTGTACTTGTAGGGGAGGGACTGTGTCAAAATCTGGACTCTCAGTTAGTGCAGACTCATGAACTTGTTGACATTCAGCTCTGCTGGCTCCATCCGATAGTATGACCCGTCTAACGAGAGTTTTTCCTTAGAGAAAAGAATTGTGGAGAGAAAAGCAGCCAGTCAGGACTCTGCTGCCCAAGAGGAAAAGCCGGGGAAGAGTTCCCACTGCCTTCCCAAAGCAACTGATTGAGATAAATTCATTTGTCTTTATTGAAGAAAGGCCAGTGGGACTTTCCAAAGAGCTCACTCAGCTTGCCTCATGGTTTCCGGGAACAAGCAATTTTAGTCTTTCCAAGGATGTTGGGTCATATCAACTCAGTCAGCCAGGAATTGGAGCAGGCCCCAGAGGTCCTGCTTCAATGGACAGATGAGACCAGCCAGCAAATAGCAGGACTATCCATGTCTGCATCGCCATCCTGGGCACAGATGAGGCCTTTCAAAGTTTATTCCTTTGGGAGCCCCTTCCTGGTACTAGAAACCAGATCCTGGGCCACAAGCTCTGTCTCTGGGGCAGCCAGATCTCAAGGATATTCTGAGCTCTGACATGTATCACTTCCCGAGCTGCTTCTCCCGGCTAAGCCACTTGCTCCTACAATCAGGAACCTGGATTGACATATATAAGGGCACATGTGACCCCGAGATAACATTTACTAAGCTATCTCCAAGGAGCAAGAACGCGACATCCTTCTCACCACTTAATTCTCATATATCCCCTTGAGCTCTTATTAACTCCATTTTAACAGAGGACAAACTCAGAAAGGTGAAGTCACTTAACTAAGATCAAGTAGGAGAACAGGGTTGCAGCCATGACTGGAACCCAGGTCTGTCTGGGCATATAGTTCAGCTGTGTAACCATCACAGTGTTGGATCCCCCAGCCACAATACACAGACAAACTCAAATTGGATGACTCAAGGAAAAGCCACCAGAGAGTGAAGGCTCTTTGCTTATTTTGCCATTGGATATCTGAGTCATTCATTTATTGATCATTATTAAAGGACTTTGAATATGGCGATTTCAGTTTCCCAATCTCCCTCAGCTGTCTTCTATTTGGGTGATCCTTCTTGAAGTCTGACCTAAATTGCCCCCCCTAGTCTAAGTCAATCAGCATTATTTAATGAGCACCTATTATGGGCCCAGCTGGGCACCAAAGAAGAACAAGTCTGGACTTGGTGTGGCAGACACTAAGCATGATCTTGGCCAAGGGAGGTAGAAATAGGCTCACATAAGCTGACTCTTGCTGTGAAGTCCCATGAAGGGAGACCACTCAGCTCCAGGTACATGCCCAAAGTTCAAGCTCTTTATCAGGGCACAAGGTCTGGGAGGTCAGCAAAGCGCTTTAGGTGTAAGGGGAGATAGATCCTGCTTTAATTCACTATTCAACTCCTGATCACCTGATATGTCAGGCTCAGTTTCCCTGTCTGCAGAATAGGGCTATCAGCATAGTAAGATCCTTAATTGGAGATTCAGTACAACATGCTTCTAGAATGCTCAGAATAGGATTTGGAAGATAATAGGACATTAATTATGTGATTATTCAGGTTACAGCAAGTGTACCCAATTCTGGTTCTACCCACAATCCTCCAGGGAACTACTTTTTTAAAAGGTCCCCAACCAAGCATCAAGCTCCCTAGTGGGATAAGGATAGGAAGGTAGAGGCTGAATGTTTTACACTTACCAGGCAGTTTAAACAGGCTTATGGCAAGGAAAGCTGGGTTCTATCGCTGGTTGTACCATTACAGCTTTTGCTCCATCTGTACGGAGCAATCTGGGCACACTCTGGTCTTGCTGGAAGTTCTCTGCTGCCCCCTGCTGGACCCTGGAAGTTCACTCCTCAGTGCACCTGCAGCAATACAAGGAGCCCTCAGCTGGGACCCATGTGATCCAGTGTATGCACTTGGGCAGCATTTTCACAATTGTTCCCCCAATCAGTTCTTATATCAGCTCTGTCCAGTGAGTAGTAACCCTGTTGGAAGTCTGGGTACACAAGCCGAGGCCAGGCAGGGAAAGGACTGCCCCACGGTGGCTGAGCATGTCACCAGGACTGGTCAAGTCTCTAGTGGGCTTGCTCTTTGGGACAAGAGTGCGGCGTGAGTAACAAAGCCTAGAAACAGCTGGTCATGGTGTCCTGAGCACTGCTCACTTCCAACTTTGCCAGGGCACTCCAGTGAGGCTGAGGGCACTGAGGAAGTAAGGCTGGTGAGGCTGAGGAGGCAGAGGGGGTAAAGGGGGCAGAGGAGGCAGGTGGAGGCCGGGGGGAAGGTGAGGCAGGTGTGGTGAGGCCTCCTATCAGGGAGGATTGTCACTTGCCTTTCCACCACTGGCAGAGGGAGACTAACCTTGACCATGCCCTCTGGTCTAAGTTCTGGCCCAGAGGAGGTCCAGCCTTCTCCTTATTCCTGGAAAACTTTTAGGGAGGGGCTTTCCCAGGCTTCCTGCCTCCTCTGCATCCTGACTGACCTCTCCTGATCACAGGTCAGTAGAAAGCGTGGGTGCTGGGGTCAGGCCTGCCTGGCCCGTGACTTGGTTATGAGTTAGATGATCTTGAACAAGTCCTGTCATCTCCCCGAGCCCCAGTGTATGTATCTGAAAGTTGATTCTTCTGCTCCCTACTGCATTGGGCACCTGAGGCCCTGAGGTCCCCTGCACAGGGGCAGGGCACCCTCCCCTTGCAGTGGTTCTGGAACCTGGCCAATTCCTGTGGACTTTTAGGCCCCTGGACCCCCTAGGAGGGGCAGAGGCCACAGATCATCCATCTTTCCACCCCGACAGCAAGAGGGGATGAGGGGTCAGCATGCCTCTGACTACTGCTGGCCTTGTATCCCTGTGGCCCCAGGTTAATTTTTAAAAAGCAGCCAAGAGTCCAAGTGGCCCTGGCAGCATTTGCTCTCTCTGTTTGCTCTGGTTAATAATCTCAGGAGCGCAAACATTCCTGGAAGCAGGAGAAGAGACCAACATCCTGTTCCCTTCGTCTGGGCCTCCCCCCACCTGCAGAAGAGGCTGTGCCACTGAATGCACAGCCTTGACCAAGGGAAGCTGAGATTGGAGCTCCCTCTCTCCTGTGCCCCTTGGGTTTCCCACCTCGGGCTGATGACCCTAATCATGCACACCTGCGGTCAGGTACATCGTAAGCAATCTTAGTAAGATGATTTTATTATTTACTTACTCCTTTAAAAAATTATTATGCCAGGCCTGGTTTCTCCAAAGACAGACTCCCTGAGCCATCACACGTGTAAGGCAGTTGACAGTTTACAGAGCACCCCCACACATGTCATCTCTTTTCATCTCCTGGTTTTGGCAGACAGAACAGGGCTGGTTGTCTTTAGTTTACAGATTAGGAAAGTGAGCTTCAGAGAGGGAACGCCATCCCCAAGGTCACACAGAACGAGGACACATCAGGGTTCTGGTTTCCATTCTACACATTCCCTTTTAATTCAGACCACCTTTTAATGCTACTGTCATTAACCAAGTCACAGAAGACTCAGACACTTTGTGAATACAAGGGAAGATAACTGTTGTAGAAAGCTAAACCAAGACAGTTGCACCATGACTTTGAGCTTCCTGGCAGCCAAAGCAAGAAGAAAATACAACTAGTGGCCAAGCTGTCAGTAATAAAGGAAATACACTCACTTGTTATGAATAGACACACTGTTCTGAATACCAGTGCAAGATGGATGCACTGGCTGGATCTTACAGAAGGGACACAATGCAGCTGTGCAGGGGGGACCACCCAGTTCTTTTAGGTCCTTGTTCCCAGGACTGCCTGCCTAAAGGAGTCATTCCCAGCCTAGCGGGGAGGCTTCTGGGTGTGGAGTGTTCCACACCAAGTGTGGGGAGTGAGGACAATAGCCTTGACCATAGTGAAAAGAACGCTCCAGAGATGGCCCTGAGTATCTATCTCTAGCATGAGTTTGAGCTTAGGAAACAAACAGAACTGGGTTTCATTCTCATTTAAAATTTTACATTTTTTTTTTTAGACAGAGCCTCAAGCTGTCCCCCTGGGTAGAGTGCCATGGCATCACAGCTCACAGCAACCTCCAACTCCTGGGCTCAAGCGAGTCTCCTGCCT